CTCAGCTCTCAAATTTGGAGTTTTAAAGTCAAAGACAGTTGTGGCTGTTCAGCCTCTGGTGCAGGCCTCACCAGCTATATTACAACATGACAGATGGCATCATGGAAGGAATGATGCAAAAGGAGAAAGCAATCACATGTCAGGACAGAAAGCAAGAGGGAATTAGGAGCCAGCCTTGCTTGTTTTATAACACACACTTGTAGGAACTGATTGGAGTCCTATAAGAACTACATTAATTTTTCCCAAGGTCACACCTCCAGAGATCTAATACATTTCATTAGGTCCCACTTTTTAAAGGTTTCATCACTTCAACACCATCACACTAGTGACCAAGCTTTCAGCACATGAACCTTTGGGGGACACACTCAAACCATATCCAAACCACAGCAGTCATTTTTGTTTTTGTTGGTACTGGGGATTGAACTTGGGACCTTGCGCTTGCGAGGCAGGTGGCGGCACCACTAAGCTAAATCCCTAGCCCCACAGCAGTCATTTTGGGTATGTTGTCAGATAGCAGAAAATGTGGACAGAAGTGTCCTCCAGGAAACCAATCCTTTCTTGTTTTGTTTTGTTTTGCTTTGCTTTGCTTTGCTTTGTTTGGTACTCCCTACAGCGGGGTCATGGAAGGTTCAAAGCAGAGACAGGTCAGGAAGAGTTTTATTGCTGTAAGCTTTCTGAGAGAGACTGAAGCTCGTCTTTTATGGAGCCAGCTTGGCATAGCCCCAACTCTTGCTGACAGTGGTCAGCCACTCAGGCTGGACTGAACAGACACAATACATCACAAATTATTTTTTATTGTAGTAAAAAACCACAACATTAAACATGCCATATTAACAGCTTTTAGGTGTATAGTTCAGTATCATCAAATATATTCACACTGCTGTGCAATAGAGCGCTAGAATTTTTCAGCTTCTAGCTCTAAAACTCTACCCACTAAATGTTATTTCTCCTACCTCTTTTCCACAGCCACTAATAATCACCTTTCCACCGTTCATTTCTATGATTTTGACTACTTTAGCTATTTCCTATGACTGGAATCACACAGTATTTTTCATTTATGACTGGCTTATCTTCCTTAATGTATCATCCTTAAGATTCATCCATGTTGGGCTGGGGGTTTAGCTCAGTGGTGCCACCACCTGCCTCGCAAGTGCAAGGTCCAGAGTTTGATCCCTGGTACCTGCCCCCAAAATAGTAATAATAAAAAAGATTCATCCATGTTGTGGCACGAGGAAGGATTTCTTTTTTAAAGGCTGCATGATATGAATTACATGTAGGTACCACATTTTCTCTACCATATATCTGTCAACATTTGGCTTCTACTTCTTGGATGCTGTGAATAGGGCTTCCATGAGCATAGGAGAGCAGACATCTCTCTGAGATTCTGATTTCAGTTCTTCTGAATATATACCTAGAGATGGGACTGCTAGATCATATAATAGTTCTGTTTTTAATTTTTGGGAGGACTTCCAAACTGTCTTCCATAATGACTGTACAATTTTACATTCCCACCAACAATGTGTAAAGGTTCTAATTTCTCCATATCTTCACAGACACTTGGTATTTTGTGTTTGCTTTTGATAGTGATCATCCTGTTGGGTGTGAGGCAATATCTCATTGTGATTTAGATTTGCATGTTCCTAATGATTAAAGATGTTAAGCACGTTTTCATGTGCTTGTTATATTCTTTGGGAAAATGCTTATCCAAATCCTTTGTCCATTTTCCAATCAGATTATTTGTTTTCTTATTGTAGAGTTGAAGAAGTGCCTTACATATTTTAGATATTAACCACTTACCAGTATAATGATCACTTCTTTTCCACATTCTATAATTTATCTTTTCACTCTGTTGTTTCTTTTGACTTGCAGAAGTTTCCAAGTTGGTTAAAATAATGCTATACTAGTTTTTTGGGGTTTTTGTTTTGTTTTGTTTTGGTTTTGTTTTTATTTATTTTATTTTATTTTTTTTGGTACTGGGGATCAAACTCAGGACCTTGTGCTTGTGAGGTAGGTCACAGCACCACTGAGCTACATCCCCAGCCCACGGTCTATTTTTTTATTTTGTTGTTTGTTCTTTTGGTTGTCATATCTGAGAAATCATTGAAAAATTCAACATCCTGAAGCTTATCATCTAAAGTTTCTTCTAACCATTTGGAAGTTCAAGGTTTTTAATCATTTTGAGTTAATTTTTGTGTATGGCATTAGCTAAGAATCCCACTTCATTCTTTTGCATGTCGAGTTTTCTCATCACAATTTATTAAAGAGTCTTTTCTCTCTTGTGCAGTCTTGACACCATTGTCAAAAATCATTTGGCCATGTATGCAAGGGTTTATTTCTGGGTTTCTCTGTTCAGTTCTATTGATTTACCTATCACTGAGTCACTCTCATAGCACCTTAATTACTATTGCTTCGTATTATGTTTTGACATCAGGGAGTGTGAGGCCTCCAGCATTGTTCTTTTTCAAGATTCTATTGACTACTCAGGGCCTCTTGTGAGTCCCTATGACTTTTAGAATAGGATTTTTTTCTATTTCTGTAAAAAAATGCTATTGAGATTTTGATGAGGAATATATTGATTTTAATATAGAATATGTATCTGTAGATTGCTTTGGAGCTACATTTTAAAAATATACAGCTACTCACAAATGAATGTATGTGTAAACCTGGCAAAATCTGGATAAGAAATGATGCATCAATGTCAACTGATTAAGATATTAGACTACAGTTTTGGTAGATATAGTGCTGTGAAGGAATGCTGGGTGAAAAGCATACAGGATCTCCCTGTATTATTATTTCTTACAAATTATGTGACATAATTATCTCAAAATAAAAAGTTAAGAAGTGTTACTCAACATCTGTCACATGCTATCATCTCAAACCTACCACGGGCACCTAAATGCAAAATACTATATGATAGATATATAGCCTTATATCTAAAACAAACCAGTCTTAACTTGCTTTAAAGACAAACCTGAGTCTTGATTTTAAAACTATGATTCTACCTCAAGTCAAAATTACTGGTACGTGTTCAATGTCCCAGGCCACATAGATTCACTAGGCTTCAACTGTTGTAATGAGGTACTTGATTGTGTTCTCTTTTTTTAAATTTTTAAAAATGTTTTATTAGTACATGTTTGCAGTATGTAATTATTATATTAATCATGAAGAGTTTGTATATGTACATAACACTCTTAATTATTTTTTGTCCCCTTCCCCTCTTCTCCCTCCCTGCTCCTGCCAACTCTTCTTGCCCTCTGACTTGTAAAAATTCTATTTCCAATTTTCTCCTTCAACTCTTTTTTTTTCCATTAAGTTTATTGATACATTTAAGGCAAACAACAGTTACATTCATCATTAGGATCTTGTACCTTTACATGATGTTTCTTGGTTCTTATTTTTTCCCCAGTCCCCTGCCCTCCCTTCACTCCCTTTACCCTTTCCTATTTACAAAGACTTTGTTTCCATTTTTTCCTTTTTTCATATTTTTTCTGTTCCTTTATTTCCTTTCCATTACTCTTCCTACTGAGATGCAGATGACAACAACACTGAGATTCCACCTCACCCCAGAAAGAATGGCTGCTGTCAAGAAATCAACCTATAGCAAATGTTGGTGGAGTTGTGGGGAGAAAGGAACCCTTCTCCATTGTTGTTGGGAATGCAGACTGGTGCAACCACTGTGGAAATCAGTATGGAGATACCTCAAAATACTAGGATTAGAGGTTCCATTTGATCCAGCCATCCCTCTGCTGGGTATCTTTCCAAAGGAATTTTTACAAAATCAAACCACAGCGATATATGCACACCCATGTTTACAGGAGAACAATTTGTAATAGCTGGAAATAGCCCAATGACCCATCAACTGGAGAGTGAGTATAGAAGATGTGGTTTTTCTATAAAATGGAATACTACTCAGCCATTAAGAATGAGAAAGTAGAGACATTTATAGTAAATGGATGCACATTGAGGCCATACTCAAGTGAAAGAAATAGAACGCACATGAGTAAATACCGAATAGCTTCTCTGGTATGAAAAACTAAAACTGTAAATAAAGTTCAAATGGCATAATTGATAATGTGAAATAAGAAGAAAAGGATTATGTTAGTTATTCATTCTTCCACTTGCTACATTTATATATTGCACACCCACTCTATGTCAGGTATTGTGTTGCACATTTGGGCTAGAAGATGAAACAAACAGGGATTGACCTTGGCTTTGGGGATATTCCAGCCCAGAAGACAGAGAGACCCACAGTTACCACTACCATTGCAATTACAAAGCTTATGACAGATTCAAGATATAGATAAGAAGAAGGTTGTAGGAGAGGACACCTGGAGTAGGGGGAGTTTGAAAGAGAGGCTCAGATAAGTCTTCCTAGAGTAAATTATGTTAGAGGAAAGTCTGGAGAATAAGTTAGATGAGGTGAAGAGACAATGTTTAAGTTAGAAGTGGCACAAACTGGGCAGGCTGGGAAGCATAAGAAAGTGTGGTGCTTAAAGGAAAGGCAAGGATATGCCAGAGGACAAGATTCAAGTAGGTGAGCCATGGGGAGCCAGCCTGAAGAGCTGAACTGGACCAGATGAGGAAGGACTTACCTCTGTTGTCAAAAAAACCACTGAGCGGGCCATCAGAGAAGTGCAGGGACATGACTGAACCCATCATCATCTCACTTGGATAAAGGCAAAGTATGGATTTAAAAAGAAGAGAATAATAGTGGACTTTGCGATTAGTGTCCTTCCATAATCCCAAGGAGAGGTCCATAAACAGACACTTCTCAAATTGAGCCTTTGAAGCATCAAACAATTTCATTTCCTAGTTGGTGAATCCAACCAATAACAAGCAAAGAAAATGGGACTGGCTTCTGGACTGAGGGAGGTGCAAGGGAGCCTTATACAATACCAGCATCTGTCTTCCTTTCAACTCCCTTTCTTCCTCTGGCTCTGCCCCAATGTGCATGGAGACCTTCCAACCACCGTCAGCCTTCCCTCTGTGCCTAAGGGAGTGGCATAGCATGAGCTTCTTTGAGAAGTCGTGCCTGTCTGTGCAGCACTGAAGAAGCAGGTAGGGCTGGGTAAGGTGGGTGTAGTTAGTTTTCTGTTGTTGTGGCCAAACTTTCCAATGAATTCCTAGTGTCTTGTGAAAGAGAAAATATAATTGGAGCAAATCAAGCCAACACACTACCTGTCTCTAAATTTTCAGCAGTGGCTTTGGCATTAGATTCTGTTCTGCTCAGTCCCTGGAACATTGATTCCCCTCTGTGGAAGCATCCCATTGCTAAAAACCCTTACAGGATGTGTGAGAAACTTCTTTCCTCTTAAATGGCTGACTGAACAAATTTAACGGAGGTTGTTACCCACTGAGTTTGGTATCAAAGCTCTGAAGTCCAGTTCTCTTTGAGTTTTAGCTTTCATCTGGAATCTCTCGCCCCTGCCCTCTTTGCTGCTGTCTGCCACACAATATCAAACAGCTGGAGTCTGGGCAGCTCTAGAATCCAAGCTTCTCAGCCTAAAACGTGAGAGGGTTGCTGAGAAGAACAGATGGAGGGAGTTATGAAGGTGGGGGTTTCTTGTGGGAGTAAATGGGGGCTGTGCCTGCTTTAGAGAATCTGATATCCTGAAAGAGTGGTCTCAAGTGGAACTCAGCGTCAACAGACAGATTTTGTCTGGGGCTTAAAGAGTGTGTAAAATCAAGCATGCACAATGGGACACAGAAATGGCTTTAGACTAATTTATTCTTCATTTCTCTATATTTGACTCAAACTTTCACTAATATAACTGCTCTTTATTGAGTACCCAGCACAGAGGGAGATAGGCCAACTCAGCTAACCAGTTAAGGACCTGCTACAGGGCAAATGAGAGTGGATTTTCCTAATCCTAAAATAACAATGTTCCTGACATAGGAACTGATCACCAGAACAAGCACCAGCCATGAGCACAGATGAACAACATGTTATACTAAGAGAGACACTGCATAGATATTATTTTGAAATTTTGCAGATGAAGAAACTGGACTTCAGAGGGGTAAGTAATTCTCCCAAGCTCACACAACTTAATTAAGATTGGATTCAAACCCATATTTGTTTTGGTTCTACAATATCCCTTTGTGTTGTATGTCATCTTGCCCCCCAAGGTGTACTTGTCCATAGGCAGCCTTGTGGGGATCGGACTAATCTGTTAAAGCCAATGGAACACATAGCCAGTAGGAAAATCCCCAGGGCTACAGAATTCAGTCCCAGCCCGCTCAACTTGTCTGAGGAATAGATGGCTTTGAGCCAGGCTCACCTGTAATTCTGCCTCAACCGTACAATTTAGGCTCTAATTATATGCTGTTTTGCATTGGTTACTAATTGTTGCATAGGTCAGTTTTATACTTTCATTCATCATTCTTCGTTTAGTCAACAAATATTTTAGAACAACCAGCACATTTCTTATCTAGTAGCCCAGCACAGAGAGATAGGCCAACTCAGCTAACTAGTTAATGGTATGCTCAAAAGCAAATGTCAGTGGATTTTCCTAATTCTAAATTAATGAATTAACTTAAGCATTTCTTTTGAAAATGTATTGAGATATTGCCTTAATAAACAAAAGCTTTGTACACTTGACAGCTAGAATTTTAAACTAGGAAGCTGAGTGTGTGCATATTCATTTCTAGTGTCTCTTATCAAGACAAAACATCTTTACTCAAGCATTAGCTTTGAAAGTAGAAATGTATACAAAACCCAGTTTACTAATTAGTACTCTGAATTTTATTATCTAGCTTTTAATCTTAACTTATACATCAGAACTCTTCTCATATGATGTATAATCTTTAGACTCTTGTAGTACCATATTAGTTATAGTTATGAAGTTACTTTGCTCTTTGAATGCACCGGAATACACCTTTAAAATAGTCACTAGAAAAACCCATAAAAGATTTCTTAATGACTCACCAAAATTCAGGCATCTTCTAAATGTGTTTTCTTATTCCAAGAAGTAGCCTACAACTCATGACCCTGTTGTGAGAAAATAGTGTATTGCACTGTTTGGAATTAAACTACCACTTACTTTTTGGTGTTCCTAGGCCAGTTACATAATTTTCCTTATCTGTTAAGTAGAGATAGTTGCATCTACGTCAAAGAGCTGTGGGGGTTACAAATTGAATGTACACACAGAAACCGACACGGGATGGGAGAGGAACATGCTCAATAACCACGGCCCTATTTCTCAGAGGGTTACTGGAAACATTAAACAAGGTCATAAATATAATGGAGTTCACACAGTAGGCAATTACTGTTTCCTGCTTGAGTGTTGTCTCCACTATAGTGAATATTTGGCAGTTTACCTGGGAAGTGCAGTCATCCAAACTGGATAATTCAAATACATCTCCACTTGACTCTGTATGTTTAATGGTCTCATTGTTGCTTCTGATTAGAACTGTGGGAGACAGGAATATACACTGAAACTACTGGAGGACCATTTTGCAATACTAACTAAATACCTTTAAAATACTCTATGCTATGCACCGATTCAAAACTGCCACTATAAGAATCCACCCTTAAAAAAAAAAGAGTCCACCCTTAGGAAATAATCAGAATGATAAAGATGTATGACAAGATGTTTAGTCAACTGCAATGCAGAATAATAATAAAAATAAAAGCAATCTAAATATCTGACAATAGAAAAATGATGGAATAAATAGTCTCTATCTTTGATGGAGTGGTACATGGCTGTTAAAGTCAAACTTTGAAGAAGATATGATAACATGGGGAAAATAATCACATTAGAATGTTAAACTGAAAAAAGCAACCTGTGCCAGGCATGGTAGTGCATGTATGTAATCCAGCTACTTGGAAGGCTATTCTTGAAGCAGGAAGATCACAATCAAGGCCAGCCAAGAGAACTTAGCAAAAGAAACTTCTCAAAAATAAAAGCCGGGGATGTCACTCAGTTGTGCTTGAGCACTTGCCTAGCATGAGTCCAATCTCCAGTACATGAAAAAAACCCACCCCAGAACAACCAGTATATACAATAAATCAAGAAAGAAACTAGCTCCTGCAAGAACTACCAAAACAAAACAAAACAAAAGAAAAAAATATCAGTAACAAATAAACATTCTCCACCTACGTTGGCCTTGGAACATCTTCCAACTCTGATTCAACTGGAATCATACACTCAATGTAAAGTATATGATTCCAAATGAATCAGAATTGATAAGAAATACAGGCTGGAGATTTAGCTCAGTGGTACCACTGCTTGCCTTGCAAACACAAGGTCCTGAGTTTGACCCCCAGTACCAACAATAAAAAAAATAAATAAAAATGACTACAAAAAACTCTACTATGTTAGCCGTTATTAACCCTGGGTAGTACGTTAATGTGATTTATTCCTTTTTTAGTGTTTTTCTGTATTTCTTTGAATTTTCTTCAGTGAACAAATTTTGTAACCAGGAAGACAGAGTTATATTAAAACAGGAAAAATCAATTCCCTATAACTTTCTGCCTGCACCTTAGTAATCTCTGCATGATCTTTTCCAGATATCCAGTTTATATACCACACATTGAGGAGGGAACATCTTTTCATGCCACTCTCTATATTCCTTCCGGTTCTTGCTGCACAGCCTAATGACATAGGGACATATATAGGCCTGTAGTCCCTGACCATTATCCCTCATTCCACTTTCAGTATAATAAACTCAGGTGATGATCACTTCCATACCAAATGCTTCCATTATTTTTATTTATTTATTATTATTATTATTTTTTTTTACAGTGCTGGGGATCTAATCCAGGCCCTTGCTCATGCTAGGCAAGAGATCTACCACCGAGCTACGCTGCAACCCTACATACTTCCTTTTCAGTAACTGTCCATAAATCACCGTTAACAGAACAGGGAATAGCAAAAGGCACCTCACTCAGCCCCAACTCCACTGAACAATTTTTACATGGCTGGGATACTGGAGTTAAGATAGGGAAACTAACAGAAAGAGCAAGGAACGTGCTCCAAGAAGAGGGGAGTGAAGGAGGAGTTCAGAGACATAGTATGCTTATGAAAATAATAACAAACAATCACATTAATACAGAGTCATAAAAACAACAAACACACCAAGTGCCAACAGTGTGCTTGATGTTACAGCTCAGTTAAATCTCAGTGAAATTATGATTCGCATTCTGTCTCAACTTCAGGGAAGGCAGGCAGGCATGCTGATCAGCTGGAGATCATTAGCTAAGGAAGACAGAAGGCCACAGCTCATTCTCCTGGCTAAATAGTGTTGGTAAGCATTGACACTTTTACTCAGAACCCAGGGATATGTGGACCCCAAAACAGAATGGAGTAAATGGGAAGATCTGGGAGAAAGACATAGAGGGATAGGGGACATATTTGAGATGTTAAGCAATAAATAATACACATAGGAATATAAAAAAAGCAATCTGAGAACTTCACAGATAATTTCATCTTTGCCAGTGGGAGTGGTAATTGGAATCCATCTCTGAAAAACAGAAAGCTGGATCTGCAGAGAGGTTGATATTTTCACTACAGTGAAAGATTGGCTGACCCATTCCCTTGACAAATTAAGAGTTTTATACTGAGGGTGGTCCACAGGCCTTGTAGTCCTGACCTGTGCCTCAAAAGGAGGACAATGAGGAGGTGGAAGATAATATTGTCATTGAACCAGGAGAAAAATAGGTCTTTGAGACTGTTTTGGAAGACTGTAGAAGATTAAAAGAGAAGGAAAGTAGGAGCTCCGGAGAGGAAAGGAGAATGCAAGTGGGAGATTCAAAGAGGAAATTCAGAGACTTTTCACCTTCTTGTTGAAAATGGATCATCCACTTGACCCATTTTGCCACAGGGACATGCCCAACAATCCAGGCATGCAGAGCTAAAAGCACCAAAAAAATCAAAATGGAAATTGGAGCCTGCCTGAGTTAACAAATGCAGGAGAAAAAATAGTGGAAATATGAAATAGATCACATTTTTGTTGCCTAAAAAACATTTTTTTTGGTTTCAGATTCAATTAACTCATACACTCAGTGCAAAGTATGGATTTTGCTGATGAGAAAGCACAACACAGCCTAGGAAAAAGAAGTGGCTTGGTCAGAGTCACACAGAGGTTTTCTGACTCCCAATGCAGCTAGCCTTCTGCCACAGAGGGGAGGCAACACCTCTGCTCATCCTGACCTTGGTCTGGCTGACTCTCCCAAGAGAGCTTCCTCTCAGCCTTGGCAAGCACTTGCAGTCACTTGGAACATCTGGTTTAACGTTTCCTGGTCTTCATTTTCTCTGCTGCAATACAAGGATAGAGGATAATGATCCTTCACAAGCTGTGTTTCATCCCTAAATAAGAAGACCCAGGGTTGGGGATTTAGCTCTGTGGTGCTGCTTCCTGCCTTGTAAGCACAAGGTCCTGAGTTTGAACGCTGGTACAAGAAAAAAGAAAAAAAAAAAGAAGACCCAACTTGCCACCAATTCAGCATTTGTTTGACTTCTCAATACTGGGAGGATTTCCCCTCCCTTTTAAAGCATCAACATCACCTGAAAATTTTACGGCACATTCTGCCTGAGCAGAGACATACAGAATCAGAAACTAGAGATGGGGCCCAGCAATCAGCATCATATCAAACTTTCCAGAGTTCTGCTATAGCCCACGTTTGAGAACTACTGCTCTGAATGTTGTATACCCAACACACACACACACACACACACACACACACACACACACACACACACACAAACTCTTCTCTGTGGTTACACCAGCCCTTGGTGTCCTGCCTCTACATCCTGACTGCTACATCTGAGATGATGAATGGAGATCAGGGACAGCAGAGCGGCAAACCCTCTCCAGCCGACCCACTATGTCCAAGGAGGTGGCCTTGACACTTCCCTGACACAGGTGTCGTTATTTTCTGGACTGACCCTGCTTCACTTTGGGGTTGGGGGATTGGTCATTTAATAACAAGTTTACTTTACTGATTTATGGAAGTTTGTTTCTAGAATGAAGGAGAGAGTTGAGAGTTGGGTGTCTGAAAAGGGCCAAGGGAGAAGAAACCTGGACACAGCTGGCAAAGATAGCTTCCAGAAGAAGGGTTCCAGGTGAAGCTAGGGGAGGGAAAAGGCACAGGATGGTACTTGTGGTATGGAAAAGAAAAAGTTGGGGGAGAGGAGTCTACCATACAGCAGACAGGGAGCGTTAGGGGGTGAAACTGCCCTAGATTGGGGGACTGTGTGTGTGTGTGTGTGTGTGTGTGTGTGTGTGTGTGTGTTTCCAGCTTCCTTTCCAAGACTTTTTCTTTGCTCCACTTCGCTCCTCCCCTCCTCCCGCCTCCTCCGCTCTCCCTCCCCTCAAGCAGCAATGGGAGGCTCCTAAGCTGGAGAAGCAAAAGGAGGAATTGT